TTTGACTAAATGATCTAATAATGTTTTAGACACAAAGTTTAAATATAATTTTTAAAGTAGATACATAATGAAAGACCAAAACATACAAACATAAAACTAGATACCTCAAAACCGGTACTATCTTAAGTTCATTTTAATTGACTACTGATACTTATTTAAAACAGATACACGATTCACAATAAGAATGTCTTTACTTCCAAGTAAATGTTCTGTATGAAATGTTTTACATAAAATGAAACCACAAAATAAACATATATACCATACAACACACACGCCTAATTGTTAATGATAAATTTCCTATTACAAAACGTTTAACATAGTAGGTGACTTTGCTGACTTCTATCGTAACCACTGGCAAGACAGGGGAGGTCATTAAGATGACGGTTTGGCATAGGGACAAGTCAGGTTGATTAAACTAAAGTCACAGTCTTTTACTCTTCTTTAGAATTACCAGATGGGGGAGGTGATACTCAGGTTCCCCTAGTTGGGTGGTGTTACAAACCAGTTGTTATATTTTCATGAAATAAGATTTTTTAACTTTATACTATGAAAATGTTCAAACATATAGAAAGGGAGAAAGAATTAAACAGTGGACCCTCTGTCAACTCTGTCATTCTTTTTCCATCTCTTTTGCTGCTGTTCTACTTTTTGCTGAGGCATGTTAAATCTCAACTATCATAAGGTTTAAATATATTCCAAACTTTAAAGAAAGGGAGGTGAAAATTTAATTTTGTTCACTGTTAAGATGAAAATATGACTTTGACTAAGTGATACTAATATACTCAATCTCTTGGAAACTATCAAGAAAACAAGAGTGAATTCTGTAATAAAATCATACCCTATATCATTAAGACATAATCCAAAAGTTGACCTCATTGTAAGACAGGGTTCCAGCTTTTCCTCTCAAAACCCTCGCCCCCAAAATTTCATCAAAAATAGGTTCCCTTGGGAGGAACTTTAAAACTCTGAGGTTCTTTGTAATGTGAAATCTCAAATATAATAATACTTAAGAAAACAAATTGAGTATATACTTAAGCACTAGCTGTATACCGCCATTTTTGGGTAGAGTAGAATAGAAAACAATACTTAAAATGGTAGGGGTAACTAGCATATAAAATTTACATACTTACATCTACAAGCCAAATGTCATCATTTCGATTTTCTTTAAACCTAAAAAACAAGAAAACAAATCTTTGATTGTATGTTTGTGCTCACTTTACAACTGTATAGTATAGGCAGAGATAATACATTGATAAGTATAAGGGAAAGAACCAAATTCCTTCAATAAATTTTTACATAAAATTTTTACTCAGTGACCTATCCATTAAACATATTAAAAATAAAAGCAGAGAACTGATCAACGATAAAGTAATTAGGAGGAGAGGCTCCAACAAAAAGAATTAAAGTAGGACTTGCTAGAAACACAAATAGATGCCTAAGCTCCTTGCCCTTCTAGAACAGTTTACACCTGTGCAGAAAAGGTAAAGGAAGCCTGAGGCTGCTATGCTTAGAAATAACTGTTTGCAAGATTGGTCCTTGGTTGGCATCTGGGAACTTGGATTTTAGAAGCGTTCTCACCATTTCCTGGTAATGATGGCTCAGAGTTCATAAAATGCTCGTGAAAAATACTGGATTGAGGAATTTCTGTGCTGAGATCTCAGATTACTCTCCTGAGATGTGTAGTCCAGGCCAGGGTACTGTACTTCACCATCAGCTGGTTAAGCCTAACCTTTAACTGTCCCTTAAAATGCTCAACCACCCCTGTGGATTACAGTTTATAGCACATGAAGAGCCCATTGTATCACCCATAATTGGGCTCACTGATGTGTAGCCTGGGCCAAAAATTCAGGGTCATTATCAGATGCAGTGTTCTTAAGGTAACTGAACAGGAAACAAAGGTGGTCTTGTAGGGCCTAGACAGTGTGGCCCAAGCCACTGGAACACATGGGAATGGCTAAGCGAAACCCAGAGAAAGGTCAGCCGCAATCAGTAGCCACAGGAACATTACAGACAGAATGAGAGGCCCACCATGTTCTGTCTGCTGAGAATACGGTGGCCCACTGGCTTTATGAACCTGTCCCTGGACAGTATTGTTAGCCTTGACTGGCGTCTGACAAGCAAGACAGTTTTTTCACGCTGTTATGGTATCTTCTCACAACCGTCACAGTCCACGCATTCTTGACCAATCTAGGATCCTGTCTGAATTTCCGTGAGCCATCTCTTGTGGATCCAGGAGGCAACTGGTTGCACATCTGCTTGCTCTGGAACAAGGAACAATTCATTTTCCACATTTAGCTGTTGAACATAGTTTGCTCTTGGTAAAGGTCCTCTTTCTCAGCACAGGGTCCTTTCTGGTGAGCATCCGCATGGGTAACAAAATGGTTATTAGGAGCAGAATCCCTTCCTCCTCCTCATGAAGAGCTGCCCCTGTCAGGACGCCCTGAAGGAGGAAGTCTGTAGTGACACACCCCACAAGGCAGAGTTTAGTAAGATTATCTCCTTGTTAACAATGGTTCTTCTCAGAATCAAAAACTTTCTGTAAACAATCAGCTAGCATCCTCCAGGGCCCAACAGCACGACCAGCGAAGTGCCCCCATGGGACTGTCAGGATTTTTGCTCTTACAGAATAGCACTGTATGACCACCCTCTCACTGCACCCGTCTGGTCATGCAATCAGGTGTCCAGGTAGTCAACTAGAACAACAAGCGAAACTGAAACTAACAATCACGGCTTTATTCACTTACTGTGACAGTGCAAGTCAAGAGGTTAAAAAAAAAAAAAAAAAAAGTGGCAACAGCTCCTCACTGTTCCATCTCTCCCCATGAAACCGCACCAGGTGAGTCAGGTGAATGCGACACAGATGGGAGAACTCATCTCATTTCCTAGGAGCACTGAACAAAAGTCTTCTGTCTCTTTATGGGGAGGGGGGTGAGAGAGAAAAGGACTAGTAGTAGAAAAGTGCCTGAGCTGACACCCTCAATAAAGATGTTTTAGCAGAGGTGTTTGGAAAATGCCTCAGGTGAGGCCCCAATAAGGAGGCTGCCAAACAGAGGCCACTAGGTTGAGAGAGCAGACATGCAAATAAGCGTGGCTGGCCTGGGAGGCCGAATCCTTGACTGCCACTCCCTCCAGGGACTGCAATGCACTGGTTATACACCAAGTTTGGTGTAGGGAGGGCACCTTCCCCTATGCCAGAAAAATCCTTGCAATTGTCTATGGTCAAGCCTGAAAGATCACACATGGGATTCTGGTCTGAAGGGAACCTCCTCACTTACTATAAGCAAGGTTGATTAATGCTGTGATACTATGAAGATAAATACAGTATAGTTACCAAATTCTAGCCCCCATTCAATATAATGAAAGCAAAAAGACACAACAAATACAAGGTAAGATAATGGGGGAAAAAAAAGAATATGTAAAAGTTTGCCACTGTTTTTTGATCTCAAAACTATTAATAACACTTTTGCGCACACCCTCATTTTGTATCTCGATAAAGCTTACAACAAGTGAAAAAAAACGAGTAATATATAAAAATTGGTTCCAATCTAAAATACTAGATTCACATGCAAATATTCAGATATCTCAGCTGGACAGTTAAAGTAATATTTTATATATATATATGTATACTCACGATTCATCTAAATCTTCTACAAATCCTTTACAGACGACCATATCAAGTAAAACGACTGGAATAAAAAAGACAAAATGTACACAATAAATGCTGATTATTTGGCTCATACTGTATAAGCTTAGTCATCTTTGAAATGTTTTTGACCTTTTACAACCTACCAAAAAATTCGTCACTGATGCATCCCAGAGTGCAAATGATGCAAAAGCAAAAGTAGCTCATCCATTTAATAAATAGTCTGTATGCAACCACATCGTGACCGCCCAAGTTCTAGGTAAGCCAATAAAGCTAATATACACAGTTCCTTTTTCCTCATTTTCACTCTCATCTTACTTCTCCTTTTTACCATTCCATCTTTTTGGAATATAGATAGACAGCATTCTTCTATACTTCTTTTGCTTTAATAGCAATTATCTCTTCAGTAAAAACTCCAAATGTCATTCAAAATATTTACCCCCAAATAGAAAGAAAGTCGAGCTGTAACTCTAATACTTATTACACGGCCGTGTCTGACACAGAGTGGATTCTAAAAGGTTAAGTGAGCGGACCCCAGTGAGAATGAGGGCACTCCGTGCTGACGGGAGGCAGCTGAGAACCGCTGACACACACTCAGGTCCTTTTCACACCGCACAGTCCCGGCGGCCTGACCCTGATCTGTCCTCGACCATCCTCTCTGAGCACCGGTGGTAAAAACCTTAAACATAACAAGACTCGGAACCTAAAGTCAAGACAAGATCTGGTCGTTAAGCTGGGACGGCGGCATCCTTCTTGCCCATCAAAGGAGTAAGCTTTACTGAAACTTCCTGCCACAATGAGAAAAACACAAACACAAGGCAGCGCGCCCTTCCCACGTCCAGCACTGGTCCCGCACAGCAGCGGCGGAAGGACCCTCAGGTGTCCGCTCCGTCACGGCCAGGCAGGGCGGTGCGGCGGGGACGGCAGGACGCTGCCGGGGACCGGGTGGGCATCTCCGCGGGCCCCGCAGGCCTCGCCCCAGACCCGAGCCCAATCCCGGCCCCACGGCGGGGCCAGGTTCCGACCGCTGCGCGCCCATTACCTGTGGCGCAGAGCCGCAGGGCGGCCCAACTCCTCCACGCTGCCATGCCAGCCAGGGAGAGCTGCAGAACCTGACTCTGTGCAAAAGAGGGATAAAGACACTGGGGTTCGCTGCCTGCCCGCCCGGAAAGGGAAGTAGACCCGACCCGGAGCGGAAGAGAAGCACCGCGCTCAATACGGGGGCGGGACTAGCCGGCCTCGTTAACCTCCCAGCACCCGGCTGGTCTCTAACTCTGGCTATGAGGGGGAGTACGGCGCATGCGCGAGGAGGGTAGCGCCTGCGCAGTCGTGTTCTTAAGAATGCTTTGCGCCCCCGGCGCCCCGCCCAGCCCAGGAGCGTGGGAACCCTGCTTAAGGGCTTTACTAGGGACAATGGTGGTTGTTCACTGGGGCGAGTTTCTGGGAAGGTGAGTACCGGTGAAAGTTACGCTGAGGGTGAGGTAGGCTCCGACGACGCAGTTGCAGGTTGAATATTGGCACATCATTTACTTGCTACTCCCATGCAGTAAATGCACCTGTGGGTTTTGATGCTGGATCAAATTTCTGGGAAGAGGCGCGCATTAAGACTGTGGATTGCTGAGCTGCGCGACACTCCGTATTTTTCCAAAACGTACTTGTAATATTCTTTCAACCTGTTTGCATAATGGGACATCTCTTAAATGCAGCAAGCTTTAATGCATTTTTGCCAAAGTAAGGATTGCCTCTTTAAAAACTTTCTCTTGAAACTTGAGAACATGAAGTTAAGTGTAGGATATTTTTTGATGACTCTTTTCTGATTATTTTGGGACTAAATAAATAGTGTGAAATATTTATATTGCTACCTGTTTTTTCTTCTACACGACAATGATTTGTAAAAACCATATGCTTTCATGAGACGGTTACTGCAGCAGTCACTACTTCCGAATTAGATGAAATTTTTATGGGACATAAGGTACCAGAGAATTTAGATCAAACCAAATTTTGAAAACCTATGACAGCAGAAGGGGGATATGATGTCAGCCGGTTCACCTTAGGTTCAAAATTCCAACAGGCCGAAATGTTATAAAACGTTGTTATTCCTAGTGACTGGAAGATTAAATTGTACTGTAATTGAGAGCAAGCCCTAAATGTCACCCCCTTTGTGCATACAGCATGCACAAACGCGAGCCCTCTGCAGATTCAATTTTTGTTTCTCTTTTCTTTTCTTTCTTTCTTTTTTTTTTTTTTTTTGAAAAAAGTAGACTAAAACGTAAGAGGACTGTTGAAGTGATGGTAATGTTCTCGCGGTGGTGGAACAGCTTTATAATAGTACCATCGCCTCGATACTCTTATACAGAAGCTTTTCTACTTTCTTGGCAAGGTCTCTGAATGACCCATATTCAATTTTTTTTTTCATTCTAATGTATTTCAAATTTTTCTGTCTTCCACATCATGCAAAATAAAATAATTTCTTTTTATATTTGCGTTACAGTTTAAGTTCACATGTGGAGAACAACGAAAACAGGTTGACCTAGATTTGTGCTCTTCAGTAGTGTAGCCACTAACCACATGTCGCTATTGAGCTTTCGAAATGTGCCTAGTGTGATGAAGTAACTGAATATTTAATTTTAATCTCAGTAAACTCAAAAACTGGCACTTGATTCAGCTATTGGAAAGTTTTTAAAATATGGTTGGAACAACTGAGGTATGTGAATCTACTTTTTCAACTGTAAACTTTATGAAATCTAAATACTGATCAAGTCCCAGGCGTCGGTGGCTCATGCCTGTTATCCCAGCACTTTGGGAGGCTGAGGCAGGAGGATTGCTTGAGGTGAGGAGACTGAGACCAGCCTGGTCAACACAGTGAGACCCCATCTGTACAAAAAATTAAAAAATTAGCCGGATGTGGCCTGGCACGGTGGCTCACGGCTGTAATCCCAGCACTTTGGGAGGCTGAGGCGGATGGATCACTAGGTCAAGAGATTATGACCATCCTGGCTAACACAGTGAAACCCCGTCTCTACTAAGAATACAGAGAATTAGCCAGGCGTGGTGGCAGGCGCCTGTGGTCCCAGCTGCTTGGGAGGCTGAGACAGAAGAACGCATGAACCCAGGAGACCGAGCTTGCAGTGAGCCGAGATTGCACCTCTGCACTCCAGCCTGGGCGGCAGAGGGAGATTGTTTCCAAAAAAAAATATCAGCTGGATGTGGTGGCACACACCTGTGGTCCCAGCTACTCCAGAGGCTGAGGTGGGAGGATAAGTTGGGCCAGGGAAGTTGTTGCAGTGAGCTGGGATCCTGCCACTGCCTTCCAGCCTGGCAACAGAGCAAGACCATGTCTCTATAAAATAAATATCAATTAAATATTTCTGATGAAATTAGAGAGGTTGTAACGAGATATACTATAAATGTAAAATATACACTGGATCACTGGATTGGGAAGACAATGTAAAACTGTAAAATGTCTCAATATTTTTGTACTGATAATATGTTATAATGATTATAGCTTAGATATATTGAGTGAGTTAATTACATTATTAAAATTAATCTCACATGTTTTTATTTTTTAGTGTAGCTACTAGAAAATTTATAATTCCATATGTGGTTTTGCATTATATTTCCGTTGCACATCACTGATCTAGGCAACGTGAAAATGATCAAAATAATGCATTAATCTGAAAATGATTTAATAAACCAATAAACTTTTTAGGCTTTTTGTTCAGAGAACATGCTAAATTTCCACATGCTAAAACATATTCCACAGTGAAAATTTTAAGTGTTTTTTTCTGCTTATCTACCTCAAGTGGTGATAATTTTTTTTGAGATTTAAAAGATTGGACTATTTTGACAATATTTTTAAAAAGACTTTCAGATAAGCTACACTTGTACAGGTGTATATATATACACCTTGTATATTTTGCATACATATTGCTGTAGTCTAAATGTGTAACCCAAATTTCATATGTTGAAACTTAATTGCCAATATGATAACATTAAGAGGTGGGGCCATTTGGGCATGATTTACTCATGAGGTGGGACCCTCATGAATGTGATTAGAGACCTTATAAAAGAGATTGAAGGGATTGTCTTAGACCCCTTTTCCCCTTCAACCTTAAGCCATGTGAAAACACAACAAGAAGGTACCATCCTGGAAGCAGAGAGCAAACCCTTATCAGACACCAAACCTGCTGACTCCTTTATGTGCAGCCTCCAGAACTTTAAGAAATAAATTTTTATTATTTATAAATTACCGAGTCTGTATTTTTTTTGTTTTAGAGCACCAACAGGCTAAGACACATGTCCTCACCAAAAGTCATATACAAGAATGTCTTGTCTATAGCAGGACAGTTTGTATTGTGAAAAGCTAAACAACTCGAGTGTCTAATAGTAGAATCGATAAATTGTGCTGTAATCCTATAGTAATGTACTATATAGCAATGAGAATGAATGAACTTTTGTATGGAGAACTACGTGGTCGCAAATCATAAACTAAATGTTGAACAGAAGAAACCAGAAACTATAGAAAGGTACTATATGATTTTATTTACTTAAGCTCAAAAGCAGGCAAATTAATCGTGTTAAAAGTTGAGGTACAGGTAAACGTCATGTTTCTTGATCTGGGTGCTGCTTACAATGATACGTTCACATTGCAAACACGCATTGAGCCGTACCTTTAGCGTTTCTGTACTTTTCTGTGTTTGGGTGCTAATGAAAGCTTAAAAATAATAAATACATAAAGCTACATACATTTATGTTTTTTAACAGAGAGATATTATATAGCTTTAACAGTGCTTCTCAAATTTTAAGCATCAGTTGCCTGGAGAGCTTGATTTAATGCAGACTCTAATCAGTCCCTAGAGAATCTGACCCAGTGGGGCTCATGAATTTACATTTCTCAAGAGTTCCCAGGTGATGCTGTTGTTTCTGTCCTGCATATCTCATTTAGTGGTGCTGAGGGAAAATAATTTCAGAAAATACCATTTCTTTTTAAATCACTTTGTGTAAAATATGCTTTAAGGAATGATGGGAGAAAAATCTGTTGTATATTGATTGTAATCTTTATTTATTCAGTATACTAATTACATTAAAAATACTGGGACCAGAAGAAGAGCATAAATATAGGCAGCAAAACTTAAAGAGATATAGAACAACTTTATGAAAATATATCTGAAAACTTAAAGTCAATATTATTTAAAAAACAAAAGTGGTTCAAAAACTAAAAAGACTTAATAATTAGCAATTAAAGGAATTGAATCAGAAGCTTAAAATTATATCATTAAAAAATGAGACCCGATTGATTTTAAAATATGTACTACCAATCTTTATGAAAACAAAAATTAATCTGTATTAGGATTCTCCAGAGAAAGAAAACCAAAGGAAGTTTTATTATGTGAATTGGCTTATGCAGCTATGAAGACCAAGAAGTCCTATAATCTTCCATCGGCAAGCTGGAGAACCAGAAAGCCACTCCAAGTGTTTAATTCAATCCCAGTGTGAAAACCTGATAATGAGGGGTCCAAAGGCCTGAGAACCACAAGTTAGTGATGTAAGTCCTAATCTGAGTCCCAAAGCCCAAGAACCAGGAGTAGTGATGTCCAAGGGCAAGAAAAGATAGATGTCTCAGCTCAAACCCAAAGAGTGAATTCACCCTCCCTCCATCTTTTTGGAGGCCTTTCAGGCTTTCAATGAACTGGATGATGCCCACCCAAATTGGGGAGGCCATCTGCATTACTCAGTTACTCATTCAAATGCTAACTTTTCCTGAAAACATCCTCATAGACACACCTAGAAATAATGTTTTACTAGCTATGTGGGCATCTCTTAGCCCAGTCAAGTTGAAACATAACATTAATCACGCGGTTCTTACAAACACGTCCAGACAATCAAAAAATAGGGAACACTCACCAATTTGTTCAGAGTCTAGTATAAACTCGATACCCAAACCGGAGGAGTCATGTGAGAATGGAAAACAAACAGGCCCATTTCACTTGTGAACAAAAATTGAAAAGTTCCCAATAAAATATCAAATCAAATCTAGCAGTTCACTGAAAAAGATAATAATCATGACCAAATTATTATTAATTTTTTGATCCAGAAATGCAAGCCTTGGTTTAACTTGGGAAAAAAGTTTTAATGAAATTTGTAACACATAAGAGATAAATAACATATGATTATTTAAATAAGCACAGTAAAGGGAATTTATATATTTCAACCTCTCATCAGTAGTAAATTAGGAATAGGAAGACAATTCTATGACATGTTGTGCTGTAAAGGTTAATATCCACCAGTTCCAGAATTATCCTGAGATGTTTTGCTAAATTTCTTACATAACACTAACCACTGGTCAATCACCAAAATGTGCTGATTAATAATGATGCTTTTGTAACCTGGAATTTTCAGGTGGTTTTTACCTATTTGTTACATTGTTTATTAATTAATGTGAGATTGATTTGCATTTGGTCTTAGTGAAATCTCCAGAGGGTTCTAGGATTGAGGCTGATTTTGTAGCAGTAATATACATACATGACCAGGAAAACATTTAAAAACTCAGGTGAGATTCCACCTTGTGTTCCTTCATTTTAAAGGGTTCTATGCACATGCACGTGGTTCCTGATCCAAGAGAGAATGTGCACTCATGACCCTTAGAGAAAGAAGCAGCTAGAAGCTTTCACGTGGAATCTTTTTCCAGACTCCTTGCTGGGAGAAGGACTTTGATCCATATGGTTATTTCAACACTGTTATTACATTGTATCCCTTTCCTGCATAGATTTGTAAGCATTGTTACATGAAGCCCTGTGAGTCTTTTTTAGCAAGTGAGTTCTGTTTTTGTACAGTTGATGTTAGAAGTGGGATTGCTTAGAAGACTCCTGACTCAGCTGGGCATAGTAGCTGACACCTGTAGTCTCAGCACATTGGAAAGGCTAGGCAGGAGGGTGGCTTGAGGTCAGGAGTTCAAGATCAGCCTGGGCAAACTAGCGAGCCCCTGTCTCTACAATAATTTATAAAGTAGCCAGGCATGTTGGTCTGTCTACCTGTAATCCCAGTTGCTCTGGAGGATGAGGATTGATGGAGGCCAAGAATTTGAGGCTACAGTGAACTACAGTCACACCCCTGCCCTCCAGCCTGTGGGACAGACAGACACAGACTTTAAATAGAAGACTCCCAGAGACTGGGAGATTGCTGTCTTTCTGCAGAAAGTTCCTACTCTCTCAGAACTCATGATTAGTCATTCGTTAATAGCAACAATAATTATTGGGCATCTACTTAAACAGCATTTATTGGAGTATAATATATGCACAAACAAGAACACATATCATTAGGGTACAAGTTAATGAATTTTTACAAAATGAGCATGCCCATGTAACTGTTTCTTGTGATGATCCAGAAACAGATCACTGAAGCACCCACAAAACCACCCTTGTCCCTACAACCCTTGTCCCTTTCCAGGGCTCCCTTCCACCCTTCCCCTTTACTACCTCTACGACGGGAACCACTCTGCTGACTTCTGACAGGTCAGATTAGTTTTGAACTTGACATCAATGGAATCATACAGGACGTACTCTTCTTTCATTCAACATGAAGCATGTGAGCTTCATCCAGAAAAAATAAAAAAAATAAGATTCCTTCCTCATTCTTTTATAAAAATATGACTTAAGCATTATTTAGAAATAGAAAGGGAAGAATCTGATAAACAGGATGAAAATA